TGCTCGAGAAACATTTCTGATTATTATCAATGTTGAAAACAGTCGTGCTGCACAATATTTCTGCAGAAACCGTGATAATCTATCATTCAAAAGTTTGGGGAAAGTAAAAAAAAAATTTAAGAAATTATACTTTTATTAATAAACGACACATTAAAAGTGCCAGTAAAGACATTTATAATGCTACAAAAGATTTCCATTTCAAATAAATGCTGTGATTCCTGAAGATCATGTGACACTGAAGACTGGAGTATTGATGCTGAAAATACAGCTGCGCATCACAGAAATACATTACTGTTTAACAGATATTCACATAGAAAACAGCTGTTTTACATTAGAATAATATTTCACAATTTTTACTGTATCTTTGATCAAATAAATGCAGGTTTGGTGAGCAGCAGAGACTCTCTCTAATAAATCTAACACTAATCTGACTCGTGTTGGGTGTTCTGTGTTGTTCAGGTATAAATCACGGTCCTCTGATCGCAGGCGTCATCGGCGCTCATAAACCTCAGTAAAAAATTATAATAATAATATATATATATATATATATATATATACTGTATATATATATATATATGATGAATGATGATAATAAAATAACACTTTAGTTTAATACCTCAAAATAATTTTAGTAGAACGTTTCTCGATTACACATCTTTTTCTTGTTTTCTTGGAAATATCATGTATGAAATGTGTCTGCCACTTGAGCAGAACTCACGCCGTGTCATTGGAGTAATCTGAGTGTTTTATCTACCGTAACTCTGACTTTCGTTTGGTGTTGTGTTGTGTTCAGGGATAAATCACGGTCCTGTGATCGCAGGCGTCATCGGCGCTCATAAACCTCAGTATGACATCTGGGGAAACACGGTTAATGTGGCCAGCCGGATGGACAGCACTGGAGTCCTGGATAAAATACAGGTGAGCGCTCACTGTCTGCTGAATTTCAACTATCAAAACCTCAGTCTGTCTGCGGTGTAATGCAAGGAAGCGTTTCTGCGTAAACCTCAGGAATCTGCTCTGCTCAAACTCAGCTAGATGATTTATTTGCACAGGGAAATTAACACATATTTCATCCTCTAAAAACATATTTTTATTTATAAATAAAGATTTATAATTAAAATACTTATTTAAAATTGTATTATATTTTAATTAAATATAAATCATTGCTTATATGTAATGAATAATAAAAAATGTATTATAAAATGTTATATCCTTTTCATTAAATTAATAAACTAATATTTCATATAGAATTATAATAAAATATTAAAATGATTATTAAATATATTTGACATATTTCATCCTCTAAAAACATATTTTTATTTATAAATAAAGATTTATAATAAAATAGTTATTTATTTAAAATGTTATTACATTTTAATTAAATATTAATTATTAAATAATTGTATATATGTAATAAATAATAAAAATACATATTCTAAAATTGTTTCATTAAATAATGAATTGTTAAATATTTTTTTATAAACCGGAGAGTTCCGGTGCTTGATTCTGATTGGCTGAGCCGCGTTCGAAGCTGTTGTAAATTACTCTACAACGTAACATACACCTTTGTTTACTTTGTGTTGCTCGATATGGCTAGGAACTATACTCTCATTCCAGCGTAATAATCAAGGAACTTTGCTGCCGTACCATGCAACTTTTCATTTTCCGTCGGTCTTAGTACACGATGTAACTACAGAAGAGTCAAGTTTTAAATAGAAACAATATCGAAACTCTTTGGTAATTTTTGAGCGAGATGCTAACGGTCTAATCCGATTCAATTATCTATGCTAAGCTAAGCTAAAAGTGCTACCGCCAGACCCGGAGATCGGCTGAATGGATTAGAAAACGGTAAAACTCAACTGTTTAACTCTAGGGGAGTTGGAAAGTGAGCCTATTTTAAAAAATAGTGCAGTGTTCCTTTAAGTCATCTCGAGGCTCCATTAAAGGTTTGCTGGGGCCCTCTAGTGGGCCCTGGGCCCCTGGTTGAGAAACACTGCATTAGAGTGATCCATATCAAGTTTTCTAAACCCATATTGGAGCACAACCTGGGCCCCTGGTTGAGAAACACTGCATTAGAGTGATCCATATCAAGTTTTCTAAACCCATATGTGACCCTGGAGCACAAAAGCAGTGTTAAGTCGCTGGGGTATATTTGTAGCAATAGCCAACAATACATTGTATGGGTCAAAATTATACATTTTTCTTTTATGCCAAAAATCATTAGGATATTAAGTAAAGATCATGTTCCATGAAGATGTTTTGTAAATCTCCTACCGTAAATATATCAAAACTTAATTTTTGATTAGTAATATGCATTGCTAAGAACTTAATTTTGGACAACTTTAAAGATGATTTTCTCAATATTTAGATTTTTTTGCACCCTCAGATTCCAGATTTTCAAATAGTTGTATCTCGGTCAAATATTGTCCGATCTTAACAAACCATATATCAATGGAAAGAGTATTTATTCAGCTTTCAGATGATGTATCTCAATTGAAATAAAAAAATTGACCCTTATGACTGGTTTTGTGGTCCAAGGTCACAAATTAACAAAATAGCATGTTTGAAGTTGAATAAAAAAGTGGGAGCCTGCAGCATCATGAGTGGAAACCCATTTGAGATGCATGCACCAGGTGTAAATGTCAACTTGTACACAAATACAGCTCCACGTGATCTCACTTCAGATGCATGTTGTTTGTCGTGTTTTCAGGTGACAGAGGAGACGGCGCAGGTGGCTCAAAGGCTGGGCTTCAGCGTGACTCTGAGAGGAGCGATCCACGTGAAGGGCAAAGGACAGCTGAGCACGTACTTCATCAACACCGAGCACTCAGAGCAGTGACCACAGCATCAGAGACGAGTGTTTCACTGAGGTCCTCTGCGGCATCAGCCTGATAGTGCTGGCGCTACAAGAACTCAGCTACTTAGCACTTAGATTTAACCAATTCTAGTACTTCTAAAAATGAAGGAAGATTAGCGTCTGTTGTTCTTTTTGAAGAGGTTTAAGTCTTTTGTTTTTTTTTAAACAATGCAAAGTTGGCAGGTTTTCTAAAGTCTTTAGTTTTATATTGAATTTCTTGTATTTTCCTTAACTTGCGCACTTATTTATTAATGGTTATTAATGTGTATTTAATATTTTGTATGTTTAATGTGAAAAGTTAAAGTCTATAATATTATGCATAAAAATGTTTCTTAAAAAAAACTTGTTTGTTGTGTTTAAAATGTAACCATTTTTGTGACTACGAAAGTAGAATCTAATAAAATGTCTGACTTAAAAGTGACTTTTGATCCATTCCAATGAATGGGTGCCATTTGCTTCCAAAACTCTTCCAAAAAAATTTTTTATCTTTTTTTTAAGACTGAATCTAGCAATACACATAATTAACTATTCAAAATCTGTACTGGTCAATCTCAGGTAACTTTATTTAATTTTTTACACGGTTTTTAAGTGGAAGATGGATGCATTTTTCTCAGTCCTGTTACCAAAACTCTTGTGTCTTTTAAAAAAGAATGTTTAAAAATATGTCATGACACAAGGCGACTCGAACCTTATCTTAAACCTTATTATAAAGCTTATCAGTTTTCTATGATGCAATTTATTAAACAATGGGATAAATGATGGACCAAACTTAATTTTAAAAATAGTGGTTTAACTTTTTTTTTTTTAAGAAAAAACTTTAGTAACAGGAATGAAACTGGGTAACAGGAATGAGTATCCATTATATGTGTATATAGGTTTGAGTACACTTTGTATTGATTTTTAACACATCTTTTACCTGTATTTTTAATAACTCGAGGAAAGGCCCATAAACTGAACAAAAAATGCCTTTTCAGTTTTTCTGTGGATATTGTTTTCTTACAGCTCAGGTCACACTAAAACGCCACTCCATGTATGGGTCTAATACATACTTGCCACAGGACAGAAATTGCAAGTACATTTTCTGTCATACTTGCAGGAATGTAATATAAAACAACAATGCAGGAACAACCATAGGTTTATCTGGGCAAAAACATTGTCTCGGTGTGGATAGAAGGCCAAAACGTAGAGAGAAAGATGCATTTTTTTAAATTTATCTAGATTAATATGGATGTAGCCTTACATAAATAAATCAGATGACACTACTCACTCCTGTTACTGTTACTCAGTTACTATATATGAGTATAGGACATATGAGTATAAGAGTAACAGGACTGAAAGTAACAGGATTGAGATTTCAGGATAAAATTGGCAAATACATATAATATAGCCACATGGAGTACATGCTAATATTATGAGGATACTCAGCAAATTATAGTGATTCACCAAATATTTGTATTTTTAAAATAAACAAGTAACATCTAAGAAATAATTTAGGTAACAGGACAGTGTTGACGCCCCCAGTCATCATTACAATATCATCAAATATGCAGAAAAGAAAATTAAACCACATGCTTTCGGTCACTGCATTGCCTTCAGAAGATCCATATGTTGCAATATCATGTTGAAAATGTTTTTCAGAGGGGGGATGTGTTTGGGGTAACAGGACTGAGTGAAAACCTGGGGAGACGATATTAGCGATTTATTTTGAAATAAATGTATTTAAAGCACAGATGGGATATGGAGGTACACAAAAATGCTAAATAAAAATGACTTCTGAAGGATTTAAAACATTATATTTCATGTTAAAATGTTGCGTTAGAGACTGGGGGCATGTAACAAACGCTATGTTTTCAGTGTTTTAGGTAGTTTTTTATTCATTTTTAAAATTTACGTTTTAAATGTTCAGTTAGATTAATGTGCAGGACACTTTAAATGTAAATAAAATGTATTTTATAGTTGATTTTCATGCATAATTGTACATATAATATCCTGGGGACACAAATTCCACATCGTTTCAAATCCAACTATCTTGAAAAAATATAGAAATCGTCTAAGATAAGTGTATTTGCCCTTGAATTCTCGGAAGATGAGCAAAATATCCGTCAATAGAAAAAAATAATTTCTAAAAAACGCAACAGTGGAATTTCCCTTTGAGCGAAGCCCCGCCCACCCGCCGTTCAGAGAGCGTTCGCTGCCCAAACATTCCCTCTCTCTGATTGGTCCACGCAGCCGTCCGTCATCTCGCTTCCTGCTTTGGTGAAAGTGAGGCGTTATTGTGTTTTTATCGGAGCGCGTAAGTGTCGCACTTTTAAACCGAGGTGATGACTTTATCGGTAAGTTAACGTCTGTTGTCTGTGTTTCAGCGTGTTTGAAATCGAAACGATTTTACAGCCCAGATCAAACCGCCAGATGCGGTTCAGCAGGTTTGATGAAGCAGGAAATGTTTTTTGGTTCACTTTGCGCGTAGTTTCCCAGTTTGAAACTAAGCGAATTCGATTCGAACTTAGTTTTCATTGGTTACTAATACTGTTTTATTGAGTTTATCGTGCTTGAATGGGATACACTGAAGTGTTGCTGTCTCTTGCACACGCAGGTCCATCACCATGTCCGGCGACGCACATCACAGTAGAAGGCGACGCTCCCCCAAAATGTACATGGTCGCGTCCGACTACAGAGTGCAGGACCACCTGGAAGGAACCATTCGCCTGCAGCGGGGGCAGCTCTGTCAGCAGCAGGAGGGAGGAGCGCACAGGAGCGGGAGAGGAGATTACCTGTGGGTGAAGGTGAGAGACTTAATCTGTAATTATCCGCTGGGAATCATTTGTGGTGTCAGTGTCACGTGTTTATGTTCTCATAGCTCATGACAAGTTCTTAAAGCGACGGTACCCTTTATTCCTCACAGGTGATCGATAATGGCTGCGTGGTGAAGGTGGACAGACAGGTGCTCAATGAAGTCCCGGCCGAGTTCGCCGGTCTGCTCGAACCCGTCCCTGACCTGGACGTCCGTGTCAAACTGCTGTCCAGGACGCAGTTCCTGCAGCGAATGGCGGCTTTAGCGCCGGGGTCAGAGGTGTGGGTCATCTGGAGCCGCAGCCAATCAGAGCTCGCCGAGGCGGAGCTTCGTTACCGCGGGCCGCTGACGAGGGGAAGCTCCGCAGTTCATTTCGGGGTTCAGCTAAAAGTGAGTTTGGATGTCACGTGTGAACAATAGACATTTTCTCAATCTTGTTTTCCAGCTATAATATAGATAAAGAGGAGACATTTACTTCGGAAGCAAAATTGCGTGAGATATTCCCCCCCCCTCTCGTTTTAAGCATAAATGTAGTTTAAAAAAAAACTACATGTTTATATATTATTGAAAATTAAATTAATAATAATAATAATAATAATGTATGATAGTGCATAATAATTATTAATATAATTATAATTATTCATTGTATTATTATTGTTGTTATTATTATTATTATTATTAATAATAATACATTTAGTAAAATATATTAGTTTGTTGTTTATTGGAAACAAGATAGGACATTTTTAAAAGTAGCAAAAATAAATAATGAATTATAATTAAATATTTAATATTTATAAAATATTATTATTGTTACGTAATTTAATAAAAAATAACTCATTGCTTATATATAATGACAAATAAAAATTGTTATTATTATATAATCTGTTTCATTAAATTTAATTAATATTTCATATAGAATTATAATAAAATATTAAAATGATTATTAAATATATTTGACATATTTCATCCTCTAAAAACATATTTTTATTTATAAATAAAGATTTATAATTAAAATACTTATTTAAAATTGTATTATATTTTAATTAAATATAAATCATTGCTTATATGTAATGAATAATAAAAAATGTATTATAAAATGTTATATCCTTTTCATTAAATTAATAAACTAATATTTCATATAGAATTATAATAAAATATTAAAATGATTATTAAATATATTTGACATATTTCATCCTCTAAAAACATATTTTTATTTATAAATAAAGATTTATAATTAAAATACTTATTTAAAATTGTATTATATTTTAATTAAATATAAATCATTGCTTATATGTAATGAATAATAAAAAATGTATTATAAAATGTTATATCATCTGTTTCATTAAATTTAATTAATATTTCATATAGAATTATAATAAAATATTAAAATGATTATTAAATATATTTGACACATTTCATCCTCTAAAAACATATTTTTATTTATAAATAAAGATTTATAATAAAATAGTTATTTATTTAAAATGTTATTACATTTTAATTAAATATTAATTATTAAATAATTGTATATATGTAATAAATAATAAAAATACATATTCTAAAATTGTTTCATTAAATAATGAATTGTTAAATATTTTTTTAGAGAGTTCCGCTACAAAGTAACATACACCTTTGTTTACGTTTGTGTGTTGCTCGGCAACCACTTTGTTGCAACCACAACTGTTTCTGAGGAGCTACATTGTTTTGTGGAAGAATACTGTTTTTATTAATATCATTACACTTTATTTGCTCTGTTTTATATGGAATAACCGTTTTATAAAAGCAATAAACCCTGAAGCCGTGGTTTACAGTGAATTTATAACCGCTCCGCTTCTCGTCGTACCTAACAACGCCGTTATAAATTCACTGTAAACCACGGCTTCACGGGGCTTATTGCTTTAATATAAAATGATACTAAAGTGTTAAAAAATATATGTGACGCATCTCTTGCTCTGTCTGTCTCTGTCAGGGATGGGCAGCAGGTCGTGGTAAATGCAATGGAAGCTATAAAGGGCATCAGTTGTTCTCGTGTCCAGACGGCTGCGGTCTGTTCCTCCCGGTCAGTGAGATCACGCTCCCCCGATCGTCCCGCGGCGGCAGCTCCAGCGACCGCCCTCCGAACCTCGCGGCGTCCGCTAACAGCCAGAGCCCCGTCAGCATGCTGTCACGCGCTGCGGAGTCCAGCCCCAATCCCAGCGTCCCGCAGCCGCTCGCCGTCGGACAGAGAGTCTGCTTCGTCCAGGACGAGTGCGTCCAGCGCGGGAGCGTCCAGTTCTGCGGGCCCCTGTCGAACCGGGCCCCGTCCACGCTTTATGTGGGAGTGTTACTGGTGAGTTTTGACGTCCCGAGTTCAATGTAAAGTTTTAGTTGTCAAAAAGGAAACTTTAGGTTTAATGAGTGTTTGTGTGTTCAGGATCATCCAGGAGGATCATGGGATGGATGTCATAAAAACACCAAACTGTGCTCCATCCCGTCCCCTGAGTTTGGCACTTTGCTTCCCCTCTCTAAAGTAACTGCAGGTAACATTTCTGCTTCAAGTATCAACAGTCAAGACCGTGAAACGAGTAATGCACCTAATAAGATCAAATAATATGCTGTAACAAATGCTGTCAGGCTTCGAATGAACAAAACACACCATAAAACTATCAAATGAACGCATTTGGAATAATTAATGATTGAATTTTTAATGTTTTTAAAAGTCTCTTCTGCTCATCAAGGCTGCATGTATGTGATGGAAAATACAGTAAAAATTATTAAATATTATTACAATATAAAACAGCTGTTTTCTCTGTGAATATCTGTTCAAATTTAATTTATTGCTCTGTATTTTCAGCATCATTACTCCAGTCTTCAGTGTCACATGATCTTCAGAAATCATTCTAATGTGCTGATTTGCTGCTATGATGTAATATCAATATAAAATGTTATAAGAGTTTCAATTATTCCAAACTTTTGGTGGTATATATTATTAATGTTTTAAATATATAAATGTAGAAATGCTTTTATTTAATATAAACATATGGTGGAATTAATCTGGTTAGCAAACACTCATGAAGAATACTTTTTTTATTTAATGAAAAATAAATAAATACTACAATATCACAATAAATAATAATTATTACATGATATAAAATGGAATTGTATTACAACATGGTACAATAAATATTATAATAATAAATATAATAAGTGTTCCTCCTATCTATCTATCTGTCTGTCTATCTATCTATCATCTGACTATTTCTATCTGTCTGTGTCTGTCTGTCTGTCTGTCTGTCTATCTATCTATATCTATCATCTGACTATTTCTATCTATCTATCTATCTATCTATCTATCTATCTATCTATCTATCTATCATCTGACTATTTCTTTCTATCTGTCTGTCTATCTATCTATCTATCATCTGACTATTTCTATCTTTCTGTCTGTCTGTCTCTGTATCTATATGTCTGTCTGTCTGTCTGTCTGTCTATCTATCTGTCTGTCTGTCTGTCTGTCTATCATCTGACTATTTCTATCTATCTATCTATCTATGTATCATCTGACTATTTCTATCTATCTATCTATCTATGTATCATCTGACTATTTCTATCTATCTATCTATCTATGTATCATCTGACTATTTCTATCTATCTATCTATCTATGTATCATCTGACTATTTCTATCTATCTATCTATCTATGTATCATCTGACTATTTCTATCTATCTATCTATCTATGTATCATCTGACTATTTCTATCTATCTATCTATCTATGTATCATCTGACTATTTCTATCTATCTATCTATCTATGTATCATCTGACTATTTCTATCTATCTATCTATCTATGTATCATCTGACTATTTCTATCTATCTATCTATCTATGTATCATCTGACTATTTCTATCTATCTATCTATCTATGTATCATCTGACTATTTCTATCTATCTATCTATCTATGTATCATCTGACTATTTCTATCTATCTATCTATCTATGTATCATCTGACTATTTCTATCTATCTATCTATCTATGTATCATCTGACTATTTCTATCTATCTATCTATCTATGTATCATCTGACTATTTCTATCTATCTATCTATCTATGTATCATCTGACTATTTCTATCTATCTATCTATCTATCATCTGACTATTTCTATCTATCTAGCTATCTATCTATATATCTATGATCCCGATCTATCTATCTATCTATCTATCTATCTATCATCTGACTATTTCTATCTATGTATCTATCTATCTATCTATCATCTGACTATTTCTATCTATCTATCATCTGACTATTTCTATCTATCTATCATCTGACTATTTCTATCTATCTATCATCTGACTATTTCTATCTATCTATCATCTGACTATTTCTATCTATCTATCATCTGACTATTTCTATCTATCTATCATCTGACTATTTCTATCTATCTATCATCTGACTATTTCTATCTATCTATCATCTGACTATTTCTATGTATCTATATATCTATCTATCATCTGACTATATCTATCTATCTATCTATCTATAAGTCTATCTATCTATCTATCTGTATATTTAAATATATGTGTCATGTGTTCTGTTGTACAGAATCTAGATCTGAACGGTCTCCTCTGGCAGTAACCAGTCCTAAACTGCCACCGCTGCCCGTCCCCAATAAACCCGCCCTTCAGCCACCATCGCCCAGCAATGACTCGTCACAGGCCCTGAACCGTATGCTCATCCAGCCATCCATGCTGCTGACGGCCAGAAAAGCTCTCCAGCCTCCGTCCTCCTCCGCCCCGAAAGCCGCTCTGGAACCTCCTTCTCCGCTCACGACACTCAAACCTGCCCTGCAGCCTCCCGCGGTCCCGCCCATCAAACCCCAGGCCACGCCCATGGCCCCGCCCACCGACCAATCCCGCTCCTCCAACGGATTCCACAACCTCCCGTCTCCACCAATCGCTGAGCAGAGGGCGGAGCTTGGCACCTGGTTGGAGGTGGGTTCCATGGTGGAAGTGAACGACCCGCCCCTTTTCGGAGTCATTCGCTGGATTGGACAAATCAACAACATCCCGGAACCAGTTGCTGGAATCGAGCTGGTACACAAACAACTCTCACTTATGCACAAATAAATACATCATATATATATATATATATATATATACACTACCACATGATCTTCAGAAATCATTCTAATATGCTGATTTATTATTAGAATTATCAATGTTGTGCTGCCAAATATGTTTTTTTTTGGAAACTGCGATTACTTTTTCAGGATTCTTTGAATAAAAAGAACAGCATTTATTCAAAATATACATCTTTTCTAAAAATATAAATCTTTGCTATCACTTCTTAACAATTTAACACATCCTCGCTAAATAAAAGTTTTAATTTCTTTCAAAAAAAGAAAGAATAAAAATGTACCGACCCCAAACTTTTGAACAGTAGTGTATATTACACTTTTGAGCGGGAGTGTATATATATATATATATATATATATATATATATATATATAAAATGTGTAGTTTTATGTATTTATCTCCCGCCCCACCAGGATCAGGAGTTGTCCGCCGCCACAGATGGCAGTTATCTCGGTGAACGTCACTTCCACTGTCCCGCTCACAAAGGCCTGTTCGTCAGACTGAGGAACTGCAGACGCGACTCCAGGTTTCCTGAGCCTGAGCTGCCCATCAATCAGGTCGACCGCTGCAACTCCATCGGTGAGCACTCAGAGTTCAGCTCCAACCCTAATCAAACACACCTGAACCAGCTAGTTAAGCTCTTACTA